CAATCACAACAAAATTAAATTACCAACATATGGTGTCAGAGCGTAAGGTTCGATCGATATAGCTTCTAGTTCAACAATAGGAATCCAACTTCAACATGTGCATTCATTAATCTTTAAGTTTGATGGAAAAAATGATTTTGCAATATAGAAGCACTTAACAGAGCTGTGTTTGAGAATCAACGATTATGGTGAAATTCTAGAAAAATGTCTTGTTGAGAATGAAAAGCTGTCAACTGAAGAATTACAAGACTTTTTACACGATCATTCGTTAAATGATAAGACTTCATTTTTAATTTGTCAATCTATGAAGTTATCCGTATTGGAAAAAATATTTCATGCCAAAACAGTAAAAGAGGCTTGAAGTATTTTGCTCCAAATATATGAAGGTGTACATCCAGTAAAACGAACACGACTAAAAGGATTGAAAAGACAATTCAAGCTAATAAAGCAAGGCAAAGATGAAAGTTTTGTGATTATTTTTCACAAATAGAAAAGTTAATAAATAAGATGAAAAATAATAGAGACCTAATAAGAGAGAGAGATGTCATGGAGAAGAATTTATATATGTTGTCTAGTTTGATTATGTGGTGACAACCATTGAAGAGTTCATAAAATTGGACATCATGACTCTTATGTTTTACAAGCTTCATTAAGAGTCACGCAAAATGTAGACAATGAAAGGTCTCCAAGTACAATAGAACAAACTTTAAAGACTAAAGTAAATTTGAGTGTGAGAAGGAAACGCCTAAATCACACATAATAAAAAAGGTTAAGATTTCAGAAGTAGTGAAGAAAAAAACTCCAAAACAACTTCAAGTGATGAGCAGTAAAGAATCAATCTTTTCAAGGTAAGTCTCACATCCAATGTCATAAATATAAATTATGATCACTATCAATATGAATGTAAGTCACATATTCAATGTTATAATTATAAAAGATATGATCATTATAATAGAGAATGTCATGCCAAAAAACTAGAGCATAAAGATAATCATGTCAGGGTAGCGCAGAATGATAATGTAGAGAATTTGTTATTGACAACTCATGACACTAGTGGAAAGAATGCCAGAGTAGCCCAGAATGATAATGTAAAGACTTTATTATTGGCAAGTCACGAAACTAGTGCAAAGAATAATTCTCAATGGATATTAGACTCAAGTTGCAGGAATAATATGACTAGAAACAAGGAATCTTCTCTAAATTAAATGAATATATTCCTTCGAGTTTAAGTTCTACTAAAAATGTCATACAAGAATCGGGTGTTCTAGAATCAGCTTCAAGACAAGTAAGAAGTTTAACAACAGTTTGAGTTATATTATTTCACACTAATTGAGCCAGAAAGCTTTGAAGAAGCCAAGATGAAACCAAAAATGTGGGATGAAGAAGATGATGTGAAGGTGGATGAGTTTGAAGAAAACAAATAGAAGATCAAAATAAGAGCCAAACAGGAGAAACTATTCATGTCTAACTTACTACTACAACTATACAGTATCAAGAAAAGGCTGAGAACATTTTTGTACTATCGCATACATAACAAATTTATGAGAAAGAAGAATGTGAATAAGTTTCATTGACTTTTAATGGGGTACCTATTCAAATAGATGAGATTGAACAAAAAGTAGAAGATGAAAATAAAAAAGACGACAATCATAATGGACTATCATCAATCGAATTTGTTCTCCAGAGTAAACCAAGAGGAACTACTGATATTCAACTTGTACTTGTGGACACTATAGCATATCAAGAAATTCTAGAAGGATGTTTAGTTGAAGGGGAAAAGAACATGGTATGCAAATTAAAAAAAAAAAACATTATACAACATAAAGCAAGCACCAACAGCATGGGATAGTCATATTAAACAATTACTTCAAGTAGATAAAACTTAGTGATGAGTCTACTTTATCGGGTTTCTAAAGGCGAAGAAAAATAGTTATCGAGATTCACCACTCGTCGCGATGATGTCCGAAATATTAGATCAATCTCTGGCCTTCAGTTTTGTGTTGTATCCTTTTCCTATCTCCACCTCCTAAAACACCTCTCATATCTTCTGTTGTCGTGTTTGGTTTAGGGGTTAGGGTTTTTTGCTTATATTTGTTTTAGTTAAAATTGTTCCCCTTCTTATATCAACCACAAATTGATCATGGTCATTGAATGAGGGATGAAATCTGAGCCATTTAGTGTTGAGTCTTAAACCAAGATCGTTCGATCTGCCACGTCTGAATTATATGACACGATTTGGTCCATTCGTTATCTACCAACACATTCTGACGCAATGGCCACGCGTGGCATAATCTGCTTGGTTCCCTAGGACACCTCAACTGCTGAGATATCTTTATTTATCAAATTTATAATTATACCCCAAAAATTGATAATTTTTTTCATCTAGTCCTTACAAATTTACCATTTCTCCTTTTTATTTTAAAAAGTTTTCAATTTTGCCCTGAAACAAATTTTTTCTTGATTTGTATAGTTCCCTTTCATTATTTAATGTTTGTTGTCTCAAATATAAAATGTGACAACACAAGTCTTGATATGAGCACGGGCATAAATCAATACAGAATGCCCAATCTAAAGAAATAAGAAAATAAGTCCAATAATTTAAGAATATAATGATACTTACATCTCAGTCCAAGTGGATGAGGGAATTAAGTAAGAAAATTAAAGATTTTTAAAGAGCTAAATCTCGGTTGAAAAGGAAAATTTTGGGTGGCCATAATATGGCCAGCCCTAAATTTTCATATATTTTCTCCATAATTTTTCTACAATCAATCGAGATCTTTTCCATTAAAAAAAAGTTTTCAAAAAGGAAGATTCTATCTTGTCTAATTAGTCAAAAAAAATTTAATTTATATTAATTTTTCAATTAAAGTAAGATTTAATTTTTAAATTAAGTTAGGAAATTTATTTCCTTGTATTACCCACCCATTACCTTACTTTATAAATAGACCTTTAATTTTTAGTTGTAACAATTCACGTTTGAGAATAATAAAATTACGAAATTTTAATTTTTAACTAATGAGTTTTTTGTTAACCTTCTTCTTGAGTGAGAATTGATTCAACTTATCAAGATAAGTTATTATGACGTTTTATCAATCTCTTTTGAATTGATTTCATTTATCAAAGTTCTATCTTGTAGTGTTTAATCAATTCAAATTATCATCTCAATTACTTTGATTGACATTCACGTATTAATTATAGATTAAGTAGGGAGAATTTGTTGAGAGTTTAAAGATTCTGAATATTAGAGTATATGTATAGTTTTTGATCATGTTAATTGATTCTGAGTTCCGCATCAAGTCATTTTTTTATAAATCCGAATTTGGAGTTTTTATAACTTATT